TCTGGCAATCACATTTTGGAGGCAACCGTAGAACTCCTCATGTTCCTCTGTATGATGGCCATCTTTAGGAATCTGGTTTGGAGTCTGCAATATATGATTCACTGGCTATCAGGTTCCTAGCTCATGTGAAGCCCTCGAAACCCAGATGTCAAGCACATTAGAAGGCAAAAATATCATGGAAGTAGAACAGTTCATCTGGGCAGTGGAGATCTCAAGAAGGAAGTGACATCAAGAATAGGAAAGGCATCCACAGCACTTACTAAACTCAGCAACATTTGGAAATCAAAGATATACAGTACCAGAATGAAACTGAGAATTTTCAATTTAACCATAATCTCGATGCTAACATGTGGCTGTGACAGCTACTAACACAGTGGGCAGAAAACTAGAGGCCTTCGAACATAAATGCGTAAGAATGATTCTGGGCATTGGTTGGAAAGCCTTCATCACTAATGACAAGATTTGAGAAATCACCAACCAGCAGCTCATTTCTATCAGAAAGAAGTGCTGGACATATCTAGGGTATGTACTCTGGAGGCCAACACACAGATTTGCACATGCAGCTGTCAAATGGAAACCACCTGAGGGTGAGGAAACGAGGGAGCCCAAGAGAAACCTTAAGAAAAACTCTTGGAGCCAGGACACTGTGATTCTGGCAGACCTGGTGCCAGCTCATGCCAAGGGCCCCTGCCTCACTGAACAAATCAGCATGGAAACCAGTCTGGCTTATCTGTATGGTAGTATTGTTAAGATAGATATTAGAGTTGTAAGAATGTGTTTGGTGTTTAGACCTTATGAATAGCTTGTAGGATGCTGTATTAGGGTATGTCTACACTACGAAATTAGGTCGAATTTATAGAAGTCGGTTTTTTAGAAATCGGTTTTATATATTCGAGTGTGTGTGTCCCCACAGAAAATGCTCTAAGTGCATTAAGTGCATTAACTCGGCGGAGCGCTTCCACAGTACCGAGGCAAGCGTCGACTTCCGGAGCGTTGCACTGTGGGTAGGTATCCCACAGTTCCCGCAGTCTCCGCTGCCCATTGGAATTCTGGGTTGAGATCCCAATGCCTGATGGGGCTAAAACATTGTCGCGGGTGGTTCTGGGTACATATCGTCAGCCCCCCGTTCCCTCCCTCCCCCCGTGAAAGCAAGGGCAGACAATCATTTCGCGCCTTTTTTCCTGAGTTACCTGTGCAGACGCCATACCATGGCAAGCATGGAGCCCGCTCAGGTAACCGTCACCCTATGTCTCCTGGGTGCTGGCAGACGCGGTACGGCATTGCTACACAGTAGCAGCAACCCCTTGCCTTGTGGCAGCAGACGGTACAGTACGACTGGTAGCCGTCATCGTCATGTCTGAGGTGCTCCTGGTCGCCTCTGTGAGGTCGATCAGGAGCGCCTGGGCAGACATGGGCACAGGGACTAAATTTGGAGTGACTTGACCAGGTCATTCTCTTTAGTCCTGCAGTCAGTCCTATTGAACCGTCTTATGGTGAGCGGGCAGGCGATACGGACTGCTAGCAGTCGTACTGTACCATCTTCTGCCGAGCAGCCATGAGATGTGGATGGCATGCAGTCCTTCTGCACCGTCTGCTGCCAGCCAAAGATGTAAAAGATAGATGGAGTGGATCAAAACAAGAAATACACCAGATTTGTTTTGTACTCATTTGCTTCCCCCCCTCCCCTGTCTAGGGGACTCATTCTTCTAGATCACACTGCAGTCACTTACAGAGAAGGTGCAGCGAGGTAAATCTAGCCATGTATCAATCAGAGGCCAGGCTAACCTTCTTGTTCCAATAAGGACAATAACTTAGGTGCACCATTTCTTATTGGAACCCTCCGTGAAGTCCTGCCTGAAATACTCCTTGATGTAAAGCCACCCCCTTTGTTGATTTTAGCTCCCTGAAGCCAACCCTGTAAGCGCCCCTCCCAGCGTCAGAGCAATGGCAAACAATCGGGCATCTGAGAGTGCTGTCCAGAGCAGTCACAATGGAGCACTCTGATGGGGCTAAAACATTGTCGCGGGTGGTTCTGGGTACATATCGTCAGGCCCCCGTTCCCTCCCTCTCTCCGTGAAAGCAAGGGCAGACAATCATTTCGCGCCTTTTTTCCTGAGTTACCTGTGCAGACGCCATACCACAGCAAGCATGGAGCCCGCTCAGGTAACCGTCACCCTATTTCTCCTGGGTGCTGGCAGACGCGGTACGGCTTTGCTGCACAGTAGCAGCAACCCATTGCCTTCTGGCAGCAGACGGTGCAATACGATTGGTAGTCGTCCTCATCGTGTCCGAGGTGCTCCTGGCCACATCGGCTGGGAGCGCCTGGGCAGACATGGGCGCAGGGACTAAATTTGGAGTGACTTGACCAGGTCATTCTCTTTAGTCCTGCAGTCAGTCCTATTGAACCGTCTTATGGTGAGCGGGCAGGCGATACGGACTGCTAGCAGTCGTACTGTACCATCTTCTGCCAGGCAGGCAAGAGATGAGGATTGCTAGCAGTCGTATTGCACCATCTTCTGCCAGGCAGGCAAGAGATGGGGATGGCTAGCAGTCGTACTGTACCATCTTCTGCCGAGCAGCCATGAGATGTGGATGGCATGCAGTCCTTCTGCACCGTCTGCTGCCAGCCAAAGATGTAAAAGATAGATGGAGTGGGTCAAAACAAGAAATAGAACAGATTTGTTTTGTACTCATTTGCCTCCTCCCCTGTCTAGGGGACTCATTCCTCTAGGTCACACTGCAGTCACTCACTGAGAAGGTGCAGCGAGGTAAATCTAGCCATGTATCAATCAGAGGCCAGGCTAACCTCCTTGTTCCAATAACAACGATAACTTAGGTGCACCATTTCTTATTGGAACCCTCCGTGCAGTCCTGCCTGAAATACTCCTTGATGTACAGGCACCCCCTTTGTTGATTTTAGCTCCCTGAAGCCAACCCTGTAAGCCGTGTCGTCAGTCGCCCCTCCCTCCGTCAGAGCAACGGCAGACAATCGTTCCGCGCCTTTTTTCTGTGCGGACGCCATACCAAGGCAAGCATGGAGGCCGCTCAGCTCACTTTGGCAATTAGGAGCACATTAACCACCACACGCATTATCCAGCAGTATATGCAGCACCAGAACATGGCAACGCGATACCGGGCGAGGAGGCGACGTCAGCGCGGTCCCGTGAGTGATCAGGACATGGACACAGATTTCTCTGAAAGCATGGGCCCTGCCAATGCATGCATCATGGTGCTAATGGGGCAGGTTCATGCTGTGGAACGCCGATTATGGGCTCGGGAAACAAGCACAGACTGGTGGGACCGCATAGTGTTGCAGGTCTGGGACGATTCCCAGTGGCTACGAAACTTTCGCATGCGTAAGGGCACTTTCATGGAACTTTGTGACTTGCTTTCCCCTGCCCTGAAGCGCATGAATACCAAGATGAGAGCAGCCCTCACAGTTGAGAAGCGAGTGGCGATAGCCCTGTGGAAGCTTGCAACGCCAGACAGCTACCGGTCAGTTGGGAATCAATTTGGAGTGGGCAAATCTACTGTGGGGGCTGCTGTGATGCAAGTAGCCCACGCAATCAAAGATCTGCTGATATCAAGGGTAGTGACCCTGGGAAATGTGCAGGTCATAGTGGATGGCTTTGCTGCAATGGGATTCCCTAACTGTGGTGGGGCTATAGATGGAACCCATATCCCTATCTTGGCACAGCACCAAGCCGCCGAGTACATAAACCGCAAGGGGTACTTTTCGATAGTGCTGCAAGCTCTGGTGGATCACAAGGGACGTTTCACCAACCTCAACGTGGGATGGCCGGGAAAGGTGCATGATGCTCGCATCTTCAGGAACTCTGGTTTGTTTCAAAAGCTGCAGGAAGGGACTTTCTTCCCAGACCAGAAAATAACTGTTGGGGATGTTGAAATGCCTATATGTATCCTTGGGGACCCAGCCTACCCCTTAATGCCATGGCTCATGAAGCCGTACACAGGCAGCCTGGACAGTAGTCAGGAGCTGTTCAACTACAGGCTGAGCAAGTGCAGAATGGTGGTAGAATGTGCATTTGGACGTTTAAAGGCGCGCTGGCGCAGTTTACTGACTCGCTTAGACCTCAGCGAAACCAATATTCCCACTGTTATTACTGCTTGCTGTGTGCTCCACAATATCTGTGAGAGTAAGGGGGAGACGTTTATGGCGGGGTGGGAGGTTGAGGCAAATCGCCTAGCTGCTGGTTACGCGCAGCCAGACACCAGGGCTGTTAGAAGAGCACAGGAGGGCGCGGTACGCATCAGAGAAGCTTTGAAAACCAGTTTCATGACTGGCCAGGCTACGGTGTGAAAGTTCTGTTTGTTTCTCCTTGATGAAACCCCCCGCCCCTTGGTTCACTCTACTTCCCTGTAAGCTAACCACCCTCCCCTCCTCCCTTTAATCATTGCTTGCAGAGGCAATAAAGTCATTTCTGCTTCACAGTCATGCATTCGTTATTCATTCATCACACAAATAGGGGGATGACTACCAAGGTATCCCAGGACGGGTGGTGGAGGAGGGAAGGAAAATGCCACACAGCACTTTAAGCACAGCACTTTAAAAGTTTACAACTTTAAAATTTATTGAATGACAGCCTTCTTTTTTTTGGGCAATCCTCTGTGGTGGAGTGGCTGGTTGGCCGGAGGCCCCCCCACCGCGTTCTTGGGCGTCTGGGTGTGGAGGCTATGGAACTTGGGGAGGAGGGCGGTTGGTTACAGAGGGGCAGCAGTGGCAGTCTGTGCTCCAGCTGCCTTTGCTGCAGCTCAACCATACACTGGAGCATACTGGTTTGGTCCTGCAGCAGCCTCAGCATTGAATCCTGCCTCCTCTCATCACGCTGCCGCCACATTAGAGCTTCAGCCCTGTCTTCAGCCCGCCACTTACTCTCTTCAGCCCGCCACCTCTCCTCCCGGTCATTTTGTGCTTTCCTGCACTCTGACATTATTTGCCTCCACGCATTCGTCTGTGCTCTGTCAGTGTGGGAGGACAGCATGAGCTCGGAGAACATTTCATCGCGAGTGCATTTTTTCTTTCTTTCTAAGCTTCACTAGCCTCTGGGAAGGAGAAGATCCTGTGATCATTGAAACACATGCAGCTGGTGGAGAAAAAAAAAGGGACAGCGGTATTTAAAAAGACACATTTTATAAAACAGTCGCTACACTCTTTCAGGGTAAACCTTGCTGTTAACATTACATACATAGCACATGTGCTTTCGTTACAAGGTCGCATTTTGCCTCCTCCCACCGCGTGACTACCCCCTCAACCTTCTCCCCTCCCTGTGGCTAACAGCGGGGAACATTTCTGTTTAGCCACAGGCAAACAGCCCAGCAGGAATGGGCTCCTCTGAGTGTCCCCTGAAGAAAAGCACTCTATTTCAACCAGGTGACCATGAATTATATCTCACTCTCCTGAGGATAACACAGAGAGATAAAGAACGGATTTTGGTTGAATGCCAGCAAACATACACTGCAATGCTTTGTTCTACAGTGATTCCCAAGTACGTGTTACTGGCCTGGAGTGGTAAAGTGTCCTACCATGAAGGACGAAATAAGGCTGCCCTCCCCAGAAACCTTTTGCAAAGGCTTTAGGACTACATCTAGGAGAACCGCAAATGCCAGGGCAAAGTAATCCTTTCACATGCTTGCTTTTAAACCATGTATAGCATTTTAAAAGGTACACTCACCAGAGGTCCCTTCTCCGCCTGCTGGGTCCAGGAGGCAGCCTTGGGTGAGTTCGGGGCGTACTGGCTCCAGGTCTAGGGTGAGAAACAGTTCCTGGCTGTCGGGAAAACCGGTTTCTCCACTTGCTTGCTGTGAGCGATCTACAACCTCCTCCTCATCATCATCTTCTTCGTCCCCAAAACCTACTTCCGTATTGCCTCCATCTCCATTGAAGGAGTCAAACAACACGGCTGGGGTAGTGGTGGCTGAACCCCCTAAAATGGCATGCAGCTCATCATAGAAGCGGCATGTTTGGGGCTCTGACCCAGAGCGGCTGTTCGCCTCTCTGGTTTTCTGGTAGGCTTGCCTCAGCTCCTTCAGTTTCACGCGGCACTGCTTCGGGTCCCTGTTATGGCCTCTGTCCTTCATGCCCTGGGAGATTTTCAGAAAGGTTTTGGCATTTCGAAAACTGGAACGGAGTTCTGATAGCACGGATTCCTCTCCCCAAACAGCGATCAGATCCCGTACCTCCCGTTCGGTCCATGCTGGAGCTCTTTTGCGATTCTGGGACTCCATCATGGTCACCTGTGCTGATGAGCTCTGCATGGTCACCTGCAGCTTGCCACGCTGGCCAAACAGGAAATGAGATTCAAAAGTTCGCGGTTCTTTTCCTGTCTACCTGGCCAGTGCATCTGAGTTGAGAGCGCTGTCCAGAGTGGTCAGAATGGAGCACTCTGGGATAGCTCCCGGAGGCCAATACCATCGAATTGTGTCCACAGTACCCCAAATTCGAGCCGGCAACGTCGATTTAAGCGCTAATCCACTTGTCAGGGGTGGAGTAAGGAAATCGATTTTAAGAGCCCTTTAAGTCGAAATAAAGGGCTTCATTGTGTGGACGGGTGCAGGTTTAAATCGATTTAACGCTGCTAAATTCGACCTAAAGTCCTAGTGTAGACCAGGGCTTAGTCTCACTTATCTGTACCCAATGTTATAAAGGATTAGCAAATGTTTGCATTGTAAACCTCTGTAAATGTGTAACTCAAACAGGAAAGAAGCCTTCTCTAGTGCAAATGCTGGCTTCCTACAGAAGATGCTAGGTTCTGACCAACAAGGAGGCCTTTAAAACCAAATGAGCCAACACGAGCCATTAAAAGAACAGAGGCTTTGTTAATTGCACTCCTCCCTGCTCCAGGCAGAGGAGACCTGCGAATGAACTCATCCCTTCAGCGTGGGCTCTGGGGTGAAGGGGCTAAAAACCCAACAAGGAGAAACTTAGTTCTTTTTGCTGCTTGGACTCTAAAGGGACAAGAATCACTAAGCCTAAACAAAAGACCCCCAGCTGTTTTGCCTGGGTTAGCCCTAAAGGACATACAGAGTTTGCTTATTATAGAAGTTTCTATCTTTTAGAACCTAAGACTGTAACTCATTTGGGTGTGTATGTTCCCTGCTTTAACGTTGTAAATAACTCATTTCTTTTTCCTAGTTAATAAATGTTAGTTAATTTCTTACAGGATTGGCTACAAGCATTGTCTTTGGTTTGAGATCTGAGTACAGTTGACGTGGGTAAGAGACTGGTCCTTTGGGATTAGGAGTAACCTATCATTGTGATTTTTGGTGTAAGAGACTATATCTATCCAAGAGGCAGACTTGCCTAGAGTGGTAAGACAGATCAGAGTGCCCAAGGGGACTGTCTGTGACTCCACGGTAAGGCTGTTATAGTGCTTGTTCAGTTCACACTTGTTACTTGGTTGATGAAATTGAATTATAGAACATAGAACCAATTTGGGGTTTGTGCCCTATTTCCTGACAGTCTCCTCTGAGTTTGGCACCCATGTTCATGAGCCACTCACAGCAGGAGAGAAAGAATAGTCGATCTCAACACCAGAGAGCAAACGGAAGCAGCAGCGAAATGACAGAGAGGAATAGAAGAGACTGGTTTCTGCCCTGTGTGCCAGCATTGGCACAGGAAGGGTGTTTAAAAGCAAAACAAATGCGAACAAACAACAAAACAGAAAACCACAGAGCTAGACAAAATACCCAGAGAAGAAATCAAACAAACAGTCATTCTTAAGGGAACAGCATAAATATAAAATGATCTGGCTAAAGATTATTGGGCAAGATTTGGGAAGGTAGAGGGGACATACAAAAAACCTAAATTTCCTGCTGATGATCAAAATTCTTATTGTATAATGTTTATATTAAGCAAGGCCTGGACTTCCATAGCCCATACCCAGGAGAGGGATCGGGAAGACAGATGAGAGGGAAAAGGCCACTAGATGCTGCCCATCTGCTGCCCAGAAAGGGGACAGTGAGAGAAATGAGTCACTGCTGAGCTCTCCCACACGTTGTTCGGTAAAGGAGGTATGTAGGGAAGAAACAAATTATTTCTGGGCTTCCTCAGCCCATGCCCATGAGAGTAGAAAAGGAAGGAGAAACAAATCCCCACTGGACTTTCCAGCGCTCTGCCTATCTGGCTGAGGATATGGCAGCAGGGACCCACAGCAAATACAAGCTCTGATTCAGGAAAGCATTTAAGCATATGCTTAACTTTGACCATGTGCTTAAGTCCCATTGAATTAAGCAGGAATTAAGTACTGACTTTAGGGATGCTTTTCTGATTCAGGGTCACAGTAAGGGCCAGGAAGAGCAGCTATCGCATGGAGCCACTGTGGTGGGAGGAAAGAGAAGATGAGTTCTAGCAATGAATGCAAGCAACAGCTACTTGGGAGTTATCTGGGCAGCCAAAGAGAGCAGTGAAAATTAGAGGCTGGAGAAGTGATGGCCGCCACTCGGGAAATGCGAACCGTGGCCTCTGGGAGCTGCGGGCAGCTGTGCAAATGTAAACAAACGGTCTGGCGGCCCACCAGCAGATTACCCTGATGGGCCACAGGTTGCCCATTACTGGTCTACACTGTAAAAAAAAAAAAAATCTTTACTCAGGTTAGCTAACTTGGGTTAAAATAGTAGGGAAGACATGGAAACTCGGGTTTTACCTTGAGTGAGCAGCTCAAGTTCACCCCAGGCTGCCCTTATGGGCTTGAACTCAATGGGTTAACCTTGTTTAAAAGCCAAGTGGCCATATTTACACTGCTGGCAAACATGAGTTAAAACACAGGTTAGCTAACTCAGGTTAAACCACTAAGGTTAAACATCTTTTTTGCAATTTACCCTTAAGGCCCCTTTACTGCTCTCTGAAAGTAAAGGTTACACCCCCTTTACGCCGCCAGAGTAGTGTAAAGAAGCTGTAATATAAATAAGAATCAGGCTCAATGAGATTTATGGTAACAGCCTGTAATAAACTTTTTTGAAACTAAATATTGTATAAAGCCTTATTGGTAATGCTATTAAAACAGTCATGAGATAATCCGGATGACTACATTTGGCAATAGTAAATATTTAATGAGAACATTTATATAGTCTTCCAAGAATGAAAAAAAAAAAAAACAGTACAAATATTGTGCTTGTTTAACCTTTCCTAGTGATAGTGGTTAGGGGGCTTTGGGAGGCAGGGTTTCTTTCCTAGCACACTAGAATACTGTAGCACCCTAGTTCTCCATAAGTCTACTTAATATAAGTTCAGAGACCGGAAAGCCTGTTGGCAACTTTTTGGAACCATTTAGTAAAGGTTATTATGGCTAGTTGCAAGCACTTAATATATCGACGTAAGTATCCCAGCTGTATTCCTTTGAGTTTATTTTGATGGATTCCACTTTTTCTTCCTTTAAACTTCAGTGTCACAGAAAAAAATATTTCCTGTGAAACAAAGTCATTAATTTTCTCTTAACTAAATATCTATTCATGGAAAGTCAGTTACGTAATCTCCCTGGATGATTTCTTGTTTAATCAAGGTGCCCTTTTTATATTGGAATGTGAGCTCCCTTTCTAAATTTAGCAAATAGTGCAGTAATGCAAACTTAATGTTGATCACAAGAATTGGTCTTTTTATATCCTCTGTGACAGGTTTCAGTCAGTCCTCCGAGCCCCTAGGGGCGATGGAGAGCTATGGTCCCACTCGCAGGCCTTAGTCACACCTTTTGGGCGCTGGGGAATTAGCGGGGAAGGTGTGCCGGCCCAAGTCTGCGGCGCGCCCCCCACACAGGGGGAGCGCCGGCCCGAGTCTGTGGCGCGCCCCCGCAGGCAGGGGGAGCGCCGGCACGGGTTTGTAGCGCACAGTTCTGCTCCCCAAGGCAGGCTGGCTGGGGTAGTGGAACTCAGGCCCACCCAACTCCACTGCGTTCCAGCCCAGGGCCCGGTCAGTGGCTGGAGGCCAAGGTCCTGCCGCTGGGTCAGCGGGGCCATCCACGCCCGCTGACCAAACACACCCACCCCACGGTGCAGTTCTGCCCCTGGGCTACTTCCTAGCCCGGTCTCTCAAGCGGGTCTCTCCGGTCCCTCCAGCTCGTCCGGGTATTCCGCTTCTGGCAGCTCCAGCTCCCCCTCTGTGTCGGACTCACGCTGGCCCGGGCTACAGCTGGGCCCCTCCAGGTCCTCCGGGTACTCAGCGGCTGGCAGTCCTGGTTGCCACAGGCCTTCCTCCCGGTCAGGTTCCTCCTTGCCCAGGGCCTCATCTGGGTCAGCAGCAGGATCGCGAGGGAGCAGCCTGTGTCTGTCTCCCTCCCTGGTGCTCTCTTCACTGGGCAAAGGGCCCCACCCTTTGTACTTCCTGTCCCACCCCTCCCCTTCCGGGGATTGGCGTAAGCTTGGTCTGGCCCCGCCCTCTCAGGTTGAGAGGGTGGCTCTTTACCCTCTGGTTCGGAGGGGAGCCACCCTGGCTCCCTACATACCCCACCCCTCAAATCCAGCTCCCGATCTTCGGAGCTGGCGTCCTCACCCTCTCCGAGGCGGAATAGGAAATCCGCATTGGCGTTGTCTCGTCCCGCCCGATGGTGAATCATGAAGGCATAGGGCTGCAAAGCGAGATACCACCACATCAGCCTGGCATTATTGTCCTTCATCTTATTAAGCCACTTCAGGGGTGCGTGGTCCGTAACCAGTATAAAGGGGGCCCCCCGAGGATGTAGTAGTGGAGAGCATCGACTGCCCACATAACTGCTAGGGCCTCTTTCTCCACAACGGAGTAGTTCCGTTCTCTGGGGAACAGCTTCCGACTGAGGTAAACAATCGGGTGTTCCTCCCCGTCCACCTCCTGCGAGAGGACCGCCCAAGCCCGACGCCTGGGGCATCAGTCTGAACAATAAAGTCACGATGAAAGTCAGGGCTGAAGAGTATTGGATCGCTACACAGCCGTTCTTTGATAGTTCAAAAGGCTGTCTCGCACTCATTGGACCAATGCACCCAGCGGGGACTGTCCTTGGTCAAGAGCTCCGTTAGCGGGGCCATAATGCTTGCAAAGTGGGGTACAAACCGCCTGTAATAACCAGCTAAGCCCAAGAACTGACGCACTTGCCTCTTCGTGGTCGGCACCGGACATTCCTGGAGTGCTTGGACTTTCCCGATGAGGGGGCAGACCTGTCCCCGGCCCAAGGTGTACCCCAGGTAAGTGGTTTCCTCCCACCCAATTCAGCATTTTTTTTGGATTGGCCGTAAGCCCGGCTCCACGGAGGTCCCGGAGGACTGCCGCTACTTGGTTAAGATGTTCCTCCCAGTTATTGCCATAGATGACCACATCGTCCAGGTAGGCCGCAGTGTACTTCGTGTGTGATTGCAACACCCGGTCCATCAAACGCTAGAAGGTTGCCCGGGCCCCATGTAGGCTGAAAGGCATCCGGGTGAAATGGTATAACCCTGAAGGGGTGGCAAATGCGGTCTTCTTCTTGGACCTGGGATCCAAGGGGATCTGCCAGTATCCTTTGGTGAGATCTAAAGTGCTGATATAACAGGCCTCCCCGAGCTGGTCGAGGAGCTTATCGACGCGGGGCATCGGATAGGCGTCAAATTTTGAGATGGCATTTACCCTCCGGAAGTCAATGCAAAACCGC